TTCGAATCGAATGCACTCGGGTGACAATTTAATAAGTCAGAAGATTGGGTCTGCTCTGGGCCCTTTGGCCAAATCGCATCAGCATCGTATATAACAACCATTCCCGGCAACTCTCTCTCTATTTCGGTGACTGTTGTTCGTTGGCAACTTGTTTGCGACTTGGCCCGTCTATTTTGTGATGCTGCTGTGGCTGCTGCTGCTGCTGCTACCTCTTCTGATGTTGCTGCTGCATTTTGCCGGCTCATTTCAACTTGGCCCGAATGCATTTTCTATACAAACACAGACAGAGCCAGAAGGCCAGAAGGTAGCAGAGGCAGACTCAGGAGCTGGAGTAGACAACCGCAATTCGGTTGGGCATGGGTATGGCCAGTACACAGAGAGAAATCGAACCAAAAATTGACTAAAATTGTCAAAGTATATGTTTTTAGAAATATATTTCTTAAAATTTGGAATTAAATTAACCAGAAAAATCTGGAAAATATTTAATAAACATTGAACATTTCCTTTAACAATATCTTAGGCATTGAAGAGCTTGTTGCCATCTTAAAACGCGACTATAATAAACAATCTCTGACATTTCTGAGATTCCAGACTAGAACTGGTAATGAAAAGTATATTTTTTATTAAACAAACAACCTTCAATCTATTATTTATGAGTAATTAAATTTTAAAATAAATTTCAAGGTCAAACTTTTTAATAAAATCAAACTAAACTCTCTTTATATTTTTTTACAAGTAATTAAAACAATTTCAAGTCTAAAATCTTTTCCCTGTGCATCAGTTTGCCTCTTACCCATATCTTTTCAACTGGAGAATGGCAACTTTTTGCTTTATTGGCTTTATTGACTTTTGGTAAGTTCTCGACTGGCTTCGCTTCGTTTGATTTCGATTCGATTCGTTTTGGCGACCAGCTTCTTCTTGGGGCTTCTTCTGAAGCGGCAAGTAATTTTTTTATTTGGAGTGGCTTAAAAGGGTATGCCGGTGGTCGGTTAGTAGACTCTACTGATTGCTGCCTGTGTTTATTCGCTTATAAAAATAAATAAACCCAACGCCGCCAAATCAGAGAAAGACCCGGAGCTGGAGACAGAGACCGGGAGCGAGAGGGAGCAGGAGCAGAGCAGAGCAGGACAGAAGTTGGCAGTTGCAAGACCATAAAACTGGAAAGTTGTTTGGTCAGTTCTACCGACAACAGCAACAAGCAATAGCAGCAGCAGCAGAGGCAGCACCATCAACATCTAGTGTCGAGTGCTGCTGGCTGTGGGGCTTTGATATTCTCGCTGGAAATTTATGAAAAATCACTCAATTTTCCAGATTCAGCTCCAGCTGCCGCGGAAAGTGTGTCACCCGCCAAAAGTCGCAGAATCCCCGCCAGAGATCGTCCGAGTAGTATCTTTCTTTGGCAGACCAGGGTTCAGCAGACTTGCAACTCGATCTTGGCTTGGTTTTTATGTTTTCCCGCTTTTGTCTTGGTTGTTTTTTCGGGTGAAATCTGGTTTTGCATCCGTCTCTTTTCCCGTCTCTCTTTCTTTCTCTGTCTCTGTCTGTTTTGTTTCTGATTCTGTTTCTTTTCCATTTGCATGACTGAGGTTGAATCATCGATGTCGATATCGAGCTGGCGTATCTTGCAGATACTTTGCACTTCTCCCCATGCAAATTTGTGTATATTTTTTCGCCAGTTTCGGGGTATTTGGACTCTGAAACTGGTTTCCATCTCCTCGAGCAGGATTCGGCCTTTCAAACCAACTAGTCCAAAAAAAATCGGTATATAGACTTTAATCGATACTTTTTCAGTTTCTTTTAAGTAAAACTGTAAATATCGAACATTTTTCGATTTTTTAATGGTTTTTGATAAGTCTATTACTATTATAAATAATTATTAATCGAATGATTAATCAACAGTTCGATATATAACAAAAATTTAATATTCTCGATACTCGCTATTTGATGAATCGATAATTTTCGATATTTTTTAATTCGATGTCTATGGTAGATTTTAATTTTTATATAAAGTATGATATTTTCCATCGCTATATATCATCAGATTTTTTTCACGACACATCCCTAATCCAGGCAATTAGCAATATGCCACAGCGGTGTAATTATTAAAAGATACACGCGTCCAAATGATGTTAACTAAATTGTTTTTGATTTATACTTCAAGTTCGAGTTCATTTCGGTTATGAGTGAGTGTCTTTAAGCCAAATTTATGATAAGCCGTTGGCCATTTGGCCTGCGTTAACCTTAAGCCGGGGCCACAGATACAGATACAGATTCAGATTCGTATCTGTATCTGGGATGCGAAAGTGAAAGTAGCCGAAAAAAAAAGACAGCAACTTGCACTCCTCGATCTCTCGCCTCTGTCTCTCTCTCTCTGTCGTTCACGGGTTTTCTGTCCCGAGTGATTTTATTACCGCCTCTGTCTCTCGTTTTTGTCTGTTTTAACTTTGGCTTTTGTTTTCGGTTTCAGCGGAGTTTCAAAATAAAATTAAATGCTAAGAAAAACAAAAGCAGCCATCGAGTGAGGAGAAGCCGAAGCAAAAATAAGAAACAAACAAAAAACAACAACGAAAATGATTACAACGATTTATACGTAGTGCGGGGCAACGTGAGTTCGGCATCACGTTTCCTTTTTATTGCTCTCTGAATTTGTTGCTTGTTATTTTTGTTATTTTCGCCGTTGTCATTTTTCATTTCAGACTCAGTTTGCTGCGGTAATTTCGTGTTTTTTTCTCGTTCGGTTATTTAATGATTTAAAGATTATACACGGTCCACCTGGCGACCCTTTTACTCCTGGCCAAAATGGACTGGAGTCCTCCTCCAGCTACCCCAAAAAGCTGGGGCAGAAAAACTTTCGCTTTTTTTTACACCTTTTTCGGCAAAGAAGGTAAAAAAAAAAGTGTTGTGTAAGAGCATGTTAATTTGGGACGAAGCAGAAGGTGTTAAAATTGCAGATAATGTCTGCGGTTTGTTGTTTGAGCTCTCTCTTCTTGGTAACCTTTTCTTTGAGGGATGCTGTTCACACTCCGATTGAAGGGATCTCTATTAAGCGACCCAATTATCTTGCAAAAAGGTAGTGGAAGTTAAGCGGCTTAGGGGGAAAATATCTAATTTGGAGGCAGGAAACTCTCCAAAGAGTAAACTTGGCCTGAATTTATATTCATACATTATCTTGGAGATCAGTTTGTAAGAAGGTTTTATGCTCTACTGTACCCCCCACTAAGTGGCCTTAATTCTAGCCTGGTTAAATAAAATAAATCTGTCTGACTTGGCTCATATTGCTTGCATAATCACCTCACCTCAACCCTTTTGGCGGCGCAAACATTTAATTTAATGGCGGGACTTTGACTCACAGAACAAACTCGATGCTCATAAATATGCTAATCAGGCGGGAGGCACGCCTCCTCATTCACCACCTCCTCCTCCTTCACCCATTGAGACAAAGAAAAGCTAATTCGGCCTGACACAGTTTTGCAATTATTCAATGGGCAAACACAATTAAAATTGTGAAACACGACTTGCTCTTGACTGGAAAATGTCAAACGTTCGAATGCTCCGTGGATTCTTGGGGTGTGGGGGGAGAAGGGAAGCTGTTGCTGTTGTTTTGCGAGACGTTTAGGCAGGCCATTAGACAGATAGCGCGCGCATCCGTCAGATACAGATACGGCTACATTAGCGACTCAGCTGCTGGGAGGTTGAAGCAGTCACAGCCACAGATACAGATACAGAGATACAAGTTCGAGTACAACGCGGCATCGATTGTTTGCCAGCAAACTGGTTCTGCCAATGCCCAACTATAGATAAGTATTTCAGTATTCCGGGCGCAATAAATGCGTGGGAAACTGGTAACAGCGACTGGGCCATCATCGTCCGATATAGACGCGGAATTGTGGCCAGTCAGGCTAGGGACAAAGCCCGGCTGCGGCGCTAGATGTGCAATTACAGATAAGCCCGAACTCATTATAATAAAAATGAGTTATTAAAGCTGAAAAACTGAAGAGACCCAAAAGTTTTCGCCGAAAACTAGCCAAGAATAATGGCCCGACCTCTGGCGTTTTTTTTTTTTTTTGTCTTATCCCTCTGGCCCGGCCTGAACTTTAAATTAAAGCCACTCACTCACTTACTCACTCTATTCTCTCTACTCTTCTCTTTTTTGGTTTTTGTTAATTTCTTGGAAGCTGTCAACGTTTGAGAATTAATTTTTACACCACCGTCCGGGATCGGACCTGGTTTCCTGGTCTAGCCTTTGACTGGGCCAGAGCAGAGGTGGAGAATCAAATCATGCAAGAAATTTGTTACTGACATAAAAATTACCATCATTATAATGTCTGGCCCGTCTAACACGAACACGAACACTCGAAAGCCAAGCAGGAAGAGCGCCACAAAAGCCAGTGTGTGGTAATAGAAAATGTCGAAATTAACACTGGGGAAAATATTTAGGTATTTTTACGATAAGATTTAAGATAAATGTAAAGAAGGAAAGAGCTTTTCTATGACTACAAATAGTATATAAAATATAGCCTTGTATTTCATTTGCTAAATTTAAAAGTCTTGCCAAATCAACTTATAAACTAAAACTCATAATTGAAAACCAGTTCTTAATAATTAAGATGTCTTAAAGCCATGAATTCCTAATTATCGTTTGATAATTTTATTAAAAAATTGTTTCATTAATTAATTAAATTTTCGTCACTTAATTGTTATTATTTCCGGTGAATTTCTCTTAGAAAATAGTGCTTTAAAATATTTTAACTTGCGCTGGATTACAAAAAAAAATCTTTTATAAAGTTTTTTAAATTCCAATCTCCCCAATTTCTCCAAGTGCACTTTCCTAAGGCCAAGGGAAGCGAAACCCGAGACTGGCTAAAAACGACAAAGGAGCGTCCCAACGAATGCAATGGGGCGGAGGAGTGATCGATGCTGTCCGGGAATGGGCTTGGGACTTGGGTTTCTGGCAGATGGGGAGATGGGAGTGGGCTTCGACATTGCCCATTGAAACTCACCTGCGCATGATGGGCAGCGGCAGAGTAAAGCGTCCATCGTTCATGAGCGGAGCCGGCAGCGGACCCGGCAGTGGCACCGTCGAAATCACGGACGTCAGAGCTGGCGGCTGCGGCGGCGCAGCTGCATGTTGCTGCTGCGCTGCTGTCGTTGCAGCAACCACGGCTGCGGGTGGTGGCGGGGGCGGTACCGTTGCCGCAGGAACGGGCAGGGCGCTGTAGGGCGGCGGGTAATGGGGATGCAGGATGTCCGGCAACAGAGCCCTGGCCAAGCCTATGGCAGCGGGATGCGGGTGGGGCAGAGGATGTGGATGAGGAAGCGGATGAGGATGGGGATGATGCAGGTGTGGGGGCGGATGCAATTGGGCTGGGGGAGGCGGGGGTGGTGCTGCACCATGATGACGTCGCGGATGATGTGGGGGAAATTGTTGCTGCTGCTGCTGTTGCTGCCTGCGTTCCCTTCGCTCCCTGCGCCGCTGCTCGCGTGTCCGGATCTGCTGCTGCTGCTGGAGCTGCTCCTGTTGCTGCTGCTGCTGCTGATGCTCCTGTTGCTGCTGCGTATCCCTGGCTGAACTGGTGGTCAGATCATCCGTTTGGCATTCCGTTGAGGTGAAGGTGCGCGGATTGCTATTGCTGCTGCTGCTGCTGTTGCTGGCATTCACATTGATTATATTCACACTGTTATCGGCTTGCACACTGCTTTTATTATTATTATTATTATTATTTAGCTTATTTTGTACACTTGCACTGAACACTTTATTATTGATTTCCACCACGCTGCTGTTGTTGTTGTTGTTGTTATTATTGGCAATGTTGCTCGTGTTGCTGCTGCTGCTGCTGGGGGTGTAGCTGCAGTTGACAACGCACACGCCATTGTTGTTGTTCACAATGCTTGTGGGCGAGGAGGCCACTGAGACGCGATTGCCGTTATTAGTACCGTTAGTAGTGTTGCCGTTGTTGTTGTTGTTATTGTTGTTCACTTGGATCGTTAAACTCGGCTGTCGCTGGCAGGACTTGCTAGTTGTTGCCGTTGCTGCAGCAGCAGTTTCTTTTGCTGCAGGCAACACTGCAATGTTGCTGATGCTCTTGGCCTCGTCGCTATTGAGAAACACACTACTGCTGCTGCTTGATACAGTAGCTGCTGTTGCTGCATCTGCGGCAGTGGCTGGCACATTCAGACGCATCTCGTTGGCGTTTTCAATATCCAACTGGCTCAGTCCCCGCTCGAATCTGCTTTCACTCGCGCGAAATTCGGCATACAGACGCTCGAGTTCTGCCAAACATTTGTTGGGCCGCAGCACACTCTTGCTGTCGTACACTGAGCGATATCCGCCGTAGTTTCCGCTGCTCGGATAGTGGTTGCTTGCTGCCGCGTCGAATGTTGCCGAGAAACTGATCGCTGCTGCGTGCTCGGCGCCGATGTTGCTGGCATTGCGGCTGGTGTTGCTGCTGAAATTGCTCTCCCAGCCCAGTGTTGCTGGCGTGGCTATCGCTCTCACTGCCGCTCTTTGCTCTCTCTGGGCACAGGAAACAGGTTGAGTGACCTGCACTGCCACTGAGCTGGTTTCCTCGTTTCCTCTGCTGCTCTCTTCTGGTGCTGCTGCTGTTGCTGGTCTTGGTGTTGGTGTTGCTGCTGTTGTTGCTGCCTCATCATCGCTCTGTTCATTGATAATGCAATTTTCTTCGCTTTGTTGTGATCCCGCATTCGTTGCTTTGCTTTGTGTTGCTGTTTCTGTTTCTGCTTCTGTTGTTGCTTTCTCAGTGTTGCTGCTTTGCTTTGTTGCAATTTCCACTGCAGTTGCTGCTGCAGTTGTTGCTGTTGCTGGCGTGAATGAAGCGCAATTCTGTGTGGGAAAAAAAGAGAGAAAGAGGTGTAATAAATATAAGAGCTAAGGGGAAACGTAAGGATTTGAATTGTGTATATTTTTAATAAATTTCATTTAAAATTTAGAAATTGGGATTTAAAAACACCTAGATTTTTGGCAGTCATTCGCCTTTAAGGTCATTAAATTCTAAATAGAAGACCTAGATTATGGCTTGGCTGGAGCGCCTTGGCTGTTGATGCTAATAAAAAATATGTATGATTATATTATGTAAACAAATTTGACCAGCTTAATTTATTACCTCTGAGTAAATGAAAAGCCAGCAAAAGTCAAGTTTCCACATAGCGTATGACAAAGATTTAAGTTTCAAGTCGCAATTAATTCTAATTGCCGGGGGATTACCCCGAGCTGTCGTCATTTTGCCCTTGCAAAAAGGTGCGAGTATCCTTCGCTGGCGTAGGGCATAAATGTGCGCTTAATTGAATTAATTAAGCCAACGCATAAACATAAAACCGTCACAAGTAATTGTTGGTTCTCCGCTGTGTTGTGCTGCTGTGCCTGAGCCCTGCTGATAAAGCTGTCCCAGTCCCAGTCCCAATCCCAATCCCAATCTGAGTCCCTATCCCGGATCCCTAGCCCCAGTTCCCTTCGACATGATGTGGGTTACAGACCCGTGCCCGTTGTGTGTGTGTGCTTGTGTGTATAGTATGTGGGTTCTAATTATGTTACGCTGTGTTACTTGCATTAATTACGTCACAGAAATATAATGTGATTTACTGTTAGCCCCGCCAACCGCCTCGAACTCATATTGTTCAAATGCTGCTCACTCTTGTGCACTGTGATTGCGTCGCGTTGCTGTCGAGTGCGTTGCAATCACAGCAGCAGATGACAGAAGCAGCGGAAGGGGTTTTCTTTTTTTTTTTGTATTTTCCAGCCCGCCGAAAAACCAAAACTCATCCTCGGTTAACGGTACTTGGAGGGGCGGAAAAGCACTGGCAACTTCATTACTTCTTGCCCATAAACCTCTCGTCATGAGCCAGTCGTCAAAGCTGAGCGTATGTGTGGCCTGGAAAACTGGGGGGGGAAATAAGAGCGACAGTCTGTGTAGAAGACTTCTCCATTTGTCAGTCCGCTTATTAAGTTCGCCCATCCATGAAGGGATATTGACACTGGCAATGGATTAGAAATACTTCTCCGGTTTTTGGGGCAAGATTAAATGACCCTTTCAGCGTGAGGAAAGTCTCTTAAAATTTACGTCATCAAATCGGAAAAGAGCTTTGAACACCAAAAGTGATATTAAAATTACTATGTAAGGTAAGAGGTTTAGTGCATCTAGATTTGGGGTGTGATATTATAAGACTTTTTTAGTAGGTTTTTTTGAGTTCAGGGAATGTTATTTGATATATTTTAACATTAATTTTACTACATTTATTTTTATAGAAAATATATTAAAACTTTCGAGAGTTGAAAGAAATATATGCCACTTTTTCTGAATAATTCTTTATTTAATATTCAAATAGCAAATAAACTTCCAGCTTTTCTAAAGAACTCATGACTAATTTTAAGAAGATTTATTTAGCCAAGGGATTAGTTGAAACTTCTGCATATAACTGAGTTCATATAGAATACGTAGAAAATTGTTATTATTTATTTATTATTTTCCAAAACGATTATATGAGCTTATGTATAAAACCCCTTTAAAAATTATTGCATTTTATTTGAACACCGATAAAGAGTTGTGTAAAAGCTGAAATTGATATTTTTGTTTCACGCTCTTCCCACCTCTACACCCCCTTTTGTGGAAAACCATTGTGCACTTTTACCTCCCTCCCTCCCCTTTCTATATTCAGCCCCTTCCCCAGCGCCTTTGTGCTTTGTTTGTCATTTTTGTGCGGTCAATTTTCCGTTTCGCTGACGCCGCATAAACAAATTATGAAGTGTGCACGAAAAACCAAAAGCAGCCACATGCGAGCCCCTATGCGAGTACTTTATGCGATGCTTTATGCCATACTTTATGCATATGCATATAAAATTTAATATATGTGGAAACAATGCCCCGCCTCCGTTCCCGCCCCCCCTCTTTGCTCACGAGTTCGATACTGATAGGCAACATATGGCGCTTATCTGCAAGGGATGCTAGCGCGGCACTTAAGGGCCTAAGTGAAGCATTAGCCCTTATCGGGGCTTACAATATGGGCAAGGGCAGGAGGGAAGGGGGCATTATAATACGAAGTCGGAGTATGGAGTACGAGGCTGTCAATGGGCCCGATAAGGCGACAGTTCGACTTGGCGCTCCCATTTCGCGCCAGGGTCCCACACAGAGTTTCCCATTGGCGGCGCCAAACACTTTGCGTTGAACCCTTGACATCAAATTTGATGGTGCTCCATTAAGCAGCTGAAAGTATCGAAGGGGGGGGATGGGGCACTGCGTTGGGTAAGGTATCAAATTTTCACCTAAGAGAGAGAGAGGGGAAAAACATTTGGCAAAAGGTATACAAACACTGGTCTCAGGGTGAGATGTGTACAAAGGAACCTTAAGGGTTGATCATTGAAAGAACCTTTTTAGGATCAACAAAAAGACTTGAGGAATTTTCTTCTCAGAGTTCTTTTGAACCTAGTTTGTAATACTAACGGATTCCCTTACTTTTTTACAAAGTATAATATATTGCTGATATTTTTCTTTTACAAAAACTCACCTGCGATATGTAGTCATCCGTAAAGGAGCGCTTTATACCCAATCCAGCGGGAACATTAGCCGTTAGTTTAGCAGCCTTGGAACCGACCTCAGCCTGAACTTGATCCTGACCCCCGTCTCGATCCCGTTCCTCCTCCACTGCTGCTGCTGCTTTCTTTGGCGATCGTTGCGATCTATCACATGGTTCGCGGGCCACTTCCGCGCTGGCCCTGACTAGCAGGGATGAAGTTGTTAAAGGAGGAGCTGCCCCACTTTTGGCTTGACCGTCGGTGTATAAAGATTCATAGGAAGGCGGCTCCTTAATAGAAGTGGCAGCCGAGGAACACCACTGGGTGAGTGTTCGTGAGGGGCTGCCCTGGTAAGAGGGAAACGAATAGCGATTCCTTCTGCCACCAGAGAAGCCACCTCCTTTGGCCAGATGATCGAAGCTGGCGATGGCCTCATCGAAGGCCCTTAAACTAAACGGGGGAAACGAAGGCACGGGGCACGGAGGCAGGGCCAGGAGCAGGTCCTGCTGCTGGTGGTGGTGGTGTCCGAATAGGGGTAGGTGGTGCTGGGGTAGTGCTCCTTGGTGGGATAGATGGTGGCTCAACGCCAGGCCCGGGGCCAAGGACGAGGCCTCGTAGCTGCTGTGCGACTTTCGTAGCTTCCTATTGAGTCGCTCGTCATCGTCTTCTTCCTCCTCGGCCTCCTCCTCCGAACTGGGCAGGGGAGTACGCTCGTAGGGCGTCCACAGCATTGAGGAGAGGGCCTCCTCCACGTCCGGCGGTCGTTGGCGGTGTGTGGTTCCTCCTGTACCCGTGCCTGTTCCCGTGCCTGTCCCCGTCCCTGTCCCGCCTCCTGATCCCGTTCCCTGCCCATGGCTGGGTGTGTTCCGTTCAGACAAGGACATGCTGCGGTGGTGGCCAGTGTCCGTTGCCTCATCGCTCAGCCGTGATCCACATTAGGTTGTTGATGGCCAGAAGAGCCTGGAATTATAAATAAGTATTTGTTCTATTTATTTTATTTTTTAAAGAGATTTTAAAGTATTTAAGCCCCAAAATTAAACTTTGATCAGGGGATTAAAGTATATTTATATTTTTTTATTGTAATAAATTTTTGGTTAACATTTTTTTCAGTTTAATCTTAAATCCTTTAGCATGCTTCGTGCTCTTTTTACAACAATTCCAATCTATAAAAGCGAAGGCTTTGTGGGAATTTATTTCATAGAATTCGTATAATAAATATATCGATTTACTAGCTTATGCCATATATCTACTCCATAAATCCCCACAAAACAACTCCCATTCGGACTTTCAGTTTTATTTTCAGAAATAAACCAGAAACATTTTCCAACACAACACAACAAAAAAAAAAGAAAAAAGAAAGACCAAGCATGTTACAACTCGCATTGTAAATGGGAAATGAAAAACTTTTAACTAAGCAAATGGCTGACAAATTAAACGCTTACAAATGCCCCAATTCCAAGGCCCAAAAACTTTTCAGCCCGCTCGGCCTCTTCCAATTTGATAAATTGCGATTAAAGCATTTGAAATTGGAAGGGCAGTGGGGCCAAAAGGGGTTTCTTCTCTAGCTATAGCTCTAAGTGAATATGCCCCCCGGTGGAGGTAGAGGGGGATGCGGTATAGTAGAAGAAAAAAAAAACCTAAAAATGGAAAACCCCAAAACGAAATAAGCCAGCAGACATGAAAAACAAGCATCCGTTTTGTGGAAAATATATGCAGAAAAGTTTGCGATGCAAAGTTTTCGGCAGCCACGCTCGCTCTCTCTCGATTTTCCTCCTTTTTCCTCTTCCTTTTCGCCCCAAAGGAGTCCAGAGTCCGGAGTCAGAGTCAGGAAAAAGGAAAACTTTGCCGCAGACCTAGGGAAATTGAGTACGTGTGTATGCGTGTACGTGTGTGCGTGTGTATAGGCCTTTGCCAAGCCAAGTTTAAACTGGCATCGAGTGGATGTGGAAGGGAATGGCTTAACTGCCATCCGACTAAACGGGACACATCGAAGCGGAAATGGCTGGCCATCCAGTTGGCCGATGCAGTGGGTAGCATAACATAGAGAAAATGCTTAATCGGGATATATATGGGGTTCTTATTATTAGGAATATGAAAATAATAATATCAAATTTAGGTGGCATAGAAGTTGATCTACAACTATCAGAAGAACGCTTGTGAAAGAAGTAATGTAAAGATTTAAGCATTTTAATAGCTTAATCCTTAGATATTTTGGAAAGAATCACAGTTCAATTATCTTAAATAATCTTTAATAATTAAGAATCTATTACAAAATCTTTCAAAATATTTATAAAATTTTGTTTTACAATTACAAAGCTCATTTAATAATTTCCATGCAATTTTCCCTCAGTGCTGCTGGCTTTCCCACTAAAATCCAAAGAGTGGAGCAAGTTGAAGACTCTGTGAAGCCGCGCTCTCCCGGTTTTGGTTGGCAAGTTTTATGTGTTGCATATCCCGAGGCGCTTGACTGTTCTAATTTTTTCACTCGCCCAGACCTTGGCCCCGCCGGTCTCTCCTTCATTCTTTCTTCTTTGGGAGCTTCTTTTCAGGGTTTTTGGTGTGTGTGCCACCGCCATTGAATTGGTTTCTTTCTGTCATTCTTTACTTCTTTTTTGGTTTTGGTTTATTTTTTTTTTTTGTGTTTTGTGTTATGCTTAAATAAAGATTTGTGTTAGTGTGTTTCATTGTTGCTGTCGCTTTTCCTACTGGTTATTGTTGCTTTTATGGTTGTTGCTGCGCACTTTCCTTGTGTTTGTTTGGCAAGTTTATGTGCAGTGCTGGGCTCTGGCCTTCATTGTTATCATTCTCAATGGTCGCCATTTCATTGTTGTGTCGAAGGAAAACGAAGAACAAGAGCCACACACCGAACCGAGGCATTCAGGCTGAATTAATACACTTGAGAAAAAATATAGGAGGAGCCTTGGGAGCATATTATTAAAAAAGATGACTTTCTTGGAGGTTTTTATCTTGGTTTAATTAGTTATAAATAAAACAGGGACGTACAAAAATTATATAAATTATAAAGATACACATAAAAGTCTTTTTAAGATAAATTTACACTAGGGGTTTATAATTCCCAAGTACTTTTTCTGGGATCTGAACAGTATTCAAATTACAAAGAAAATTCTATAGCATTCTTACCCTTTTCTAAGATATTTATAAAATTATAAAGGTGTTAAGTATTTGGCAACTCAATGGAGTGAAATATTTACAATTTTTTTTCTTTAATTATAGTTCCCCCTCTTTTCTCTCACTGCACATATGTGCAACAATTGAGAGTGGGCCAACCAGCATGTGTGTGTAATATGCATGTTACCTACTTTTGTGAGCTTTTAATTAACAACAAGCCCCAAACAAAGCAAACTGAGAGAGGCGCCGGCAGAAGAAAGGGGCGGAAGAAAGCCTTGAAATCTCAAAGGCCTTTTGTGGGGGGATTTCGCAAGTGTGGCATTCGGCTCGTTAAACATGCAGTGTACATATTTTATATGGAATTATATGGGGATTTGCGCCAGCTTAAATTGCAATTGAACATTTTGCGCCCTCCCTCAGGGCTAATGAGGCCTAACGAGTGATTTAATTTATATGGCTGTATATATATTTGCAAAAATTTCAAGTTCGGAAAACTCAAAGCGAGAATTGGCACAAAGGAAATAAATAAGCAGCTGAAAAGTTCAAATATTTACGCAGAGGCGGAAAACTCTGCGAAAACTCTGCGGAAAGCGTCACGCAAATGAGCAAAATGCCAAAATGCTGCAACCATTCAATGGAATTATTTACATAAATATTCACAGAGCGACCAAGTTGCTGGCATATTTTATTTGTATTTTTTTATATTTATTTTTATTTTCATTTCTATGTGCCATTTTTATTTGACTAGACGTGCGTCAGTCAATCATGCTCCTCCAGAATGCCAGCGAAAAACTTTTCCCACTGGGGAATATTGCCCCCCCCCATTGAAGTGGGGGAGTTGCAGATAAATATATATACATCTCTATATATATATAAAGAAAAAAAATAAGAGGAGAAAAAGAAAACTTGAAGAAGCGTTGCCATCGACAACTGCTGAGCACAGAGGCAAATTGCTGCCAGTATGTTTGTAATGCAAACAAACTTTATCTAATTAAAGGAACACGTGTTACACAACGCCCACCCCCCACTTGGCTCCTTTTCGTCTAGGGAGCGTCTTCATCTCGGGGATCGACGTCTACGTCTCCATCTCCATCCAAATCTGAGTCCGAATACGAATACGTATAGGAATATTCTTGGGATGCCGGCAGCTGCTTTACATTGATGACGACGCACTCGAAATGCTTTTGATGTCTCACTTTGCATTTGTCGATTCCGACAGCTTCGTACATAGATACATAAGAGCGTGTGTGTGCGGGAGTCTATATGTGGTGCGTAACTTCCGTTTCCGTTGCCCTTAGGCCTCCGCTCTCCGGTGTCTCCTGTCTCCTGCGACTCTCTCTCTTCCAGCTGACTGGGCTGCCGTCTCTAGTCTGACGATGTCGAGTGCCTTTTGAGTTGTTTGTCAATATGTAGACCATTATTCAATCAATATATTGACACACATTTCATTTCCTGCGCCAGAGTCCGTCTCCCTCCACCTCCCCCCCACCATTAATCCGGCCAAGTGCTAATCGCAAACAAAGTAGTTTTTGCTTGAGTTCCATTTCAATTTCTTTTGACGTCTCAGCCACTCATTTTGGCCCATTTTTATGGCTCGTGGCTGTTTGGTTTTTCGTCTCGCCTTCGCTTCCCTGCGATTCCTTCGCCTCCTTCGATTCGATTCGATTGATTCCCTTGCCGGTTTTACGTACTTTGACACACTTCCAAGGCTCCGTGATGCCTTCTTCTTGTTGCCTTTGCCCCCAGGGACTTACATTTCCGCTTAACTATTGTCGGCTCAGGAGAAGGAGGAAAGCGGAGACTATGCTTCTTAAATTGAATTTGAAGCCGGGTAGTATCCCTCCTCTGTTATTTGCACACGAGCCGATATTTCTCTTCGTGTGCTTCCCCACTTTTTTAATTTAATTCGGCGCCTTTTGCTTTGGCACTTAAAAAGTTTTTCCCAGTGCCCGAAAGTAGGCAACGAATCCCAAACCGAATCCGGGAGCAGAAAAAAAATTAACTAAGGGTGTCACACTGCGGGAAAATACTTTCAAAATAAACAGTATTATTTTTTCGAGCTTGTTGAAAATTTAAAAAAAAAACATTTTTTAGTATATTGTGTTTATTTTTAATGGTTATCTTGGTCTTTAAATTGTGTAAAGGTTAATTTAAAGGCTTTCTGCCTAAGTTAAAGGGTTTAAGGCCCTACCTTAAACCCATTTTATTGTAAAATATATTTTATTATAATTAAATGTTTAATTTAATTTAAATACTTCAACTTCTAGTCATATTTTTCATGTTTTTTTAGAGGAAAATCGAATTTAAAATTGATTAATGTTAATTTATATACTTTAATGATACTTTCTACCAAAATTAAAGACTCTAATGCCTACACTTTAACATATTTCCTTGTGAAAATATATTTTAATTTTATTAAGGGTCATATTTTATTTCACTATATTTTTTCTCACTACTTTTTTGGCATCGAAATACGAGAGTGAATGCGATCGAGTTCCTAAATCACTTAAGCCATTCAAGTTTCGTTTCGATTCCGAATCGAGCAAAGGAATAGGGAAATTGTGATAGAGAGATTACTTCTGTAGTTGAGGGATTTGTTGAGGCAAGCTGGAACAGTGTAAGGAATTGACTTTTGAAGTCAGGTCACAATAATCCGCATTAAATTGGAACTCAAGGTTTTTCATTCGCCTTTCAGAAACCCTGGAGATACTCGAGGGCCTGAATAATTAAGAGCTGCAAGTGCAATATTCAATTAAAGTTTCTTGGACTTTTCCCAGGGCTTCAATTAACCAACTATAAACAAGCTGCTAACTTGGCCAAAACAATTCTGGAGGGGGGGTGGCAGCTGCAGGTGCTCATGCCACCACCACCATCACTTACCATGCAGTTCGCCTTCAGGACCTTAAAGCTGCTTCGGCTTTGGCGGCTGCTCTTCAAAGTTCCAAGGCTCCAGCCAAGTTTATATAATTTTTTTTTTTTTTTTTGCTGCTGTCCTTCGCTCCTTTTTGGTCCTTTGGCCGGGCTCAGACCCGCCCGAAGCGCTTAATTATGCTAAAAGCAGGCAGCAACAACTTTGCCAGCTACAGAAATGAATATTTACACCTGCCCGGATGCAAATGTGGCGCCAATGTCAAAGCCATCAAGTGTGGCGCCACATAAACAAAGTTTTCTTATTTTTCATTCAACAGTTTTTGATAGTTTTATTTTTTAAAGATTTTATTTAACACACATCACTGGTAGGTCCTATTTTTCTTTGGCTTATTGACAACACTTTTTGAAACTGCAGTTCAATTCTTACGACTTTTAGAGAACCCAAATGATTTTATGCCCGGAAAAACAGTGGTCTTTTAGCCAGGCTGCTGCCACGGAAAACGCGAACGAACTGACTGGCTTAGAAACGGCACAAAGGCTTTTCACTGCGAAACTTGGCTTTGGGGAAAACTCAACTAAACACTCTCTCTCTCTCTTTGCTTTGAGGTGAGTCTGCGCAGGACCTCTGCTCCACTCTCATAATCTGCACGTGCATGTGGCTTCCTGGAAAATGTGTGGAAAATGTTTGTTTACATTTGGCAGAACAACAAGGGAGCAAGGAGTTTCGGCAGAAGCGGGGACAGGCGGAGACTTCAATTGGATGTTGCCTACTTTCCGACGGTGAAATATGACTTCTGCAATCGAAGTGGAGCTGGAGCTGGAGAGATGCAATTGCAATTGCAATGCACCGAAAATGGCCTGAAGGCATGCCGCAAAATTGAGCAACAAGCTGTTCCGGAAGCGTTGGTAATCCTGGCTAAAACCGATTCCTGGCACCCGATTTCTCCCATGCCAGGACTGCTAGAACATTATCCCTAATGAACTGAATGCCTTTTGCTGATGGACAAACTTTTTTAATTATCATTAATGAACACGATGGCAGCGGTGGCAGTGGGTAGCATCATTGGCCAAGTTGAGTCCTGCAATTATTTTAATGTTCAATGAGGTTGCTGCAGCAGTCATCGCCAATGATTTATTACTAGGACCCCGCCCCTAGCTTTCCCGAAGTCCCTAGTCCTCGTTCTCCCGAAGTGAGTGTGTGAAAGTTGCCGGCATTGGCAATTAGATAGTCGGGGAAAAGCCGGGGAAAAGCGGGCAAGTCCATGAAACGGCGTTTATGTTTAATGCGTTATAATGGCCGTTGTAAGTGTACATAAGTTGATATAAAAGTTTTATGGCCCGGGCGTGAGCAGCCTCCGGGATCCGATATGAAAATGGAAGGAGGAGGAGGAGGCTCTAGGAGAGATTGTCGACCCTCCTAAATGTAAACAAATCGATGAATTATTTCCCAACTAATCGCAATTGAAATTTAGATTTAATTCAACTCTCGCCACTTGTGGGTTAGTAATAAATTATTGACCCTTCTCGTTAAATTGAATTAGAGATACTCGAAATTTGTGTTTACATTATGAATTTCCATGGATTTCCCTGGCTAAGCCCTGGAATTTATTATTTTCCCACAAAGATGGGCTCTGTTTTTTGAGGTTTCTCAATCGAGATCGAGTTGAAACATAAATTATATGCCCATTTTATTGAATTACTTTGATATTGCCAGCCATAAATTATGTATGTTCAACAATTTTCCATAATTTATGCGTGCTTCAAAACAATTTAAGCCCCCCCTTTGGGCCACCGGTGGCTACATAAAACACATCGATGGAAATAATTTCAATAGAAAAACCTAAGCGCAGGCGGCGGCAGGCCAACACGCACGAATACCTTCCCCCCAAAAAAACAAGGACTCTCACACAGGCAACCGCTCACGCACACGGCCACACGCGTGCGTGTGTTTAGACAGATATCCGTATCTATAACTGCCTCACAATTGCAGTGCACTTGCCGCAGAAAAGACCGATAAAAGAATAAACAAGGCGAGGAGTTTGGGGGTTTTGGTAGAGGTAAGGCATTTTTGATACCCTTTAGGCGAAGTAGGGTGAGGGAAATGTGAAACTTAAGGTTACAAGTAATAGTATTTTAAGATAGATATTAATTATTAAATTTGTGAAAATATTTATTATTATATTTATGAATATATATTATAATCTTAAATGAGTTATATTTAAGACTTACCTTAATTATTTTAAATTAAATGGAAACTCAGAGAACAACGTCTCACATACGTAAACAAGAATTGAAACTCATCTAAACTCATTATTTATTAAACAAATAAACTTTTGATAACATTACCCTTTAGTCACTAATTAAACTGATGTAAAAAACTGTATTATTTTATTATCACAATCTATTTTTTTAGCCTTACTTAATATACCCCCCTATTACAGGGCACTTTCCTAAACCATTTCCATTTCGTTTTTACAACCCTGTCCTTGCAAGGGAGCCGGCAAAGCAAGTGAAACCCAGACCCCATTTATGACATATGCGCGGGTCGAAGGGCCTTGGCAGTGTGTGAGGGGAGGTGGGGATGCAAAAAGACCCTGCAGCCGGCAGACGCATCCCAGCCCCCTTTTCGACATGTCGAAATCCCACCTCCAGCGGCAGTGGCAAAAAAATCTTCGGTTTAAGCGATTTTGCTAGCTTCGGGCGGAGTTTTTCCTTTTGATGCCGTTGTCCTTGGAGCTGCATGGAAAATGCTCTATATGGTTGTATATGAATCGGTATCCACGCAGGACTCGCAGGAGTCGCCTGCTCCCCCGTGACAAACCGTGGCAAATGGCGGAGGATTGGAGGGTAGCTAGGTAACCGTAAAATAGAATGCGGGGAAAGGCAAGAATTGCAATAAAACATAAAATTGCTGACTTCAATTCGTTTGCCATTTAGGTTTCGTTTTCCCTTTTTTTCCTCACCACCCTCCGCCCACTCCTATGCCCATGCCCATCTGGGCCATTGTGTGTGCGTGGGCGTGGGTGGAAAAGTGGGGTCTGGGCGTGTGTGTGTGGCAACCTGCGTTCGCCCCTTTATATATTTTATTAGGTTTTATTTGATTTACACTTGTTTTGTGCTGAAAGCACTTCGCCCCTGAGCCCTCAGCATGTGTGTGTGAGTGTGTCTATGGATGGAGAAGGCATAAAAGGAGTGAATGGAAAGGCGGTGGAAAAAACAAGAAAAACCATCCCATTTTGAGTTGAACATTTTCTGGAAATAGCTAAATTTCCATATAAAAATGACAGCCTATAAAATAGTATAAAAGAAATTAGAGATGTTTTTGGAATATTAACGACATGCGATTAAATAAAGAGAAAAGGGACTTTGATTTTAAAGAGGATTCTTGGTTTTATTACCTGAATTTAAAATATTTACCTTTACCTTTTCAATAGCAATTTTATTTTATACACTGATAAAAAAAAACAAGAATTTTGGTCATAAAAACGAGATTTTTCGGTCACGAAAATGGCTTAAGCATATTTTGGTCTTCTTTGGATATTTTCGGTCATCTTTTAAGTACTTTTTCATTCTACATTTGAGATTTTTCAAATATTATTTCAATCCTTAAAAAAGTTTAAAATAAGAACGATAAACGACCGAAAATCTTAAAAAATGACCATAACAAGGCTTACATTAAGAAAAAAAAAAAATTTGTTTGAATCCTAACGGCCTTAGGTTAGGTTAATACTACTAAACATTCGTAATACCAAACATTTTAAATTAAACACATTATTGTGAAAGAATTTTTATAATCTGTAATTATAGAGCTAGAAATGATTATTGTAAATTAAATTAGTATTAGAAATTTTACTAAAAGCTTACTTACATTTTTTTTTCCGGCTGGGATCCGAACCCATGTCTCAAAATTCACAGACCGACCGCCTACCAACTGGGCCACTGAGGCAAATCAAACACTAATGTCGGGAACGTAAATACATACAGTTCCAAGGACAGAGAAAACAAAAACAAAATGTATCTCCCTCTCTGAGCTAAAAATAGTTTTTTTAAGAATAGTCGTAAGAGCGAGACGGCACTATGACTTCCATTTTTGTGTGAGAAAAAAAGAGACAACACTAGAAGCCGTCTCTTCTGAATTTTTAAGATTAACAAAAATCTTAATTTACGATTTTTATTTCTTAAAATGAATCATTTTCGGTATTACTTTATGATTTTTTCTTCTTCTTATTTGAATATTTGGTCTTTTTTTAAGATTTTTTTTTAAGAATGCCAAAAAATGTGCAAATCTTAAAAGTAGATTATTTTGTTCGTAAATATACCCTGAACAATCTCATTTCTAGAATTTTTGGTCTTATAGTAAGATTTTAAATTAAGAATGCGCAAAATCTCAAAAGAAGATTTTATTTTTTTTATCAGTGTAGTAAGATGATCATAAAGACGTATACATTTCTTCTCATAACAAATTAATTTTATATTCATTAATAAAAATCCCGGATTTCTTCTAAAAATCAAACAAATAACAAGCTTGTAATACAAAACTTCCCTTTTTGGCCAGTTTTCCACTCACAAGAAAGTCCCCTGAAAATGACTTTCACTTCATAAAAGGCCTTTCAGACCCAGAGGTCCAGTCATAAGTGCAAATATCCTTCTTCGATATATACATATATATCCTCTCTCCCTTTGCTTTTCAGAAAGTGAGAATCCTTTCTGCCGTTGCCAGCCAAAGCACAATTAATTAAGCACGCACAGTGGGAGCACAAAGATTTTAATTAAAAATTTTGCTGAAGCTGCACAAGTGTCCTCCACCTCCTCCTCTGCCTGGCCAATGTCCTGCTTTTCACCTAGCATCCTTTGTCGATTCGGGATTTCCGTGTTGCACTTTGTTTCATTATTTCATTACATGCCTGAGCTGCAATTGTAAGGCTTTCAATTTAAGCCGAAAACTGATGAACGGCAATTGGTAATTGCCAATTGACAATTGTCGATTGGCCATAAGGATGATGCACCGCCATCCTGGCAACCAGCCATCCTGCCACCCTTGACACACTGACTGTGTCTGTGGTATTTAGCTTTTCGCTCCACTTCCAGTGAGAGATAACCTTTATCAACTTACCTGCAGCCAGGTAAAGCTCTCTCTGTGGGGATTTCTAAAGAGCTGAAGAGTTGCCTAAGGGCCTAAAGGTGTTAATGAGTGCGATAAGATCCAAATTAGAATATTCATAATTCATAGTGTTTGCGGGGCGCATTCAATGCGAGCTGCTCTTTGCCGGCCAAGTTTGTTTAGTCCTAAAGGGCATCAAGCGAGAGCATCCTTATGATTTTACTTCAACTTAAATCGATTTGAGGAAGTTTTGGTTACAAGAAGTGTTTTTTTTTAGATATTTGTAAAGGATATTATATTATAAAGGCTATTTAAAACCAAAGCAAACTACTTATGCGTTGATTTTAATGTTGAAAGCTTAAATTATTGTTGAACTAATACGTTTCCAAGGCTTA